AGAAGTCCTTGGACTGGGCAGGGATCGAAATACGGTCTCGCTCGCTGAGAGAAGAGAGATCAAGCTGCTTCTTCTTGGAGTGTTATTAGTGCTATCTCGCGAGAGGCGTAAAGAGGAAAGGAAAGAAGCGTATCATACTTCAACGGGACTGTGGGCTCTCCTATCCAGGCTCCAGTAGTAGTCTAAGTTGAAGCTGATAAGGCGCAAAACGGTGATGTTGAAGAGGATCTCCCAGCGACCCATGAGACCACCATAGCTATCGAGCCACGCTCCCCACGCGACGAGACTGCTTTGGGACTCGTCGATCAGTCCGCCCGAGAGGAAGGCCCAAAACAGCGAGGCAATGCTGCGAAACTTGTAGCCATTGCAGAGCTCGTTCGCGAACAAGATGCCGATGTTGAAGACCCAAGTCACGACCGGCACCAATTTGCGGGGGAGAGCAGTAGCCACCTGGTAATTCAGGTGGAGAATGACGAGAATCTTAAAGGCCGACACGCCGTGTAGAGCAAGTAGGTATATTATGGCGAACCCGAAATCAAATGAGGCGCGTTGATTCAGCCTCTGATCTGCCTCTTCGAACGTCGGTCGTGAAGTCTGGGCACTCGAATTGATCCGGTATATTAGGACATTATACAATCGTCGAAGAAGAGGATGGAGGAGGAGCAAAACGGCGAGGGCCGGAATGTTGTTTCGAAAGGTGCGATATTGTGTATCGGTGGCATCCTGAAGCATCCTCAGCATGCAAGCTCACTATTCATTATATTCGCAGGAACAAACGAGAGGACTTACTATCTTGCGGCCGGGGATCCATCCTGGCGAAAGGTAATGCTCATAGTTCTTGTAATTGGGATGTGTGGCTTGAGGGGAGAGCTGTCAGCGAACGAGGCCAGCGGATAGAGGATCAAGTAAGCATGGAGCATTACTTCGTGAGGCATCGTAGGCGACCCGGAACATGTAAGGGATTGCTAGGATGAAGACAGCATAGTATAAGTAGAACTCGGGCGTGTTCCACCTCGATTTCGTCGCAGATGATGCTCGGCTATTCCATTTGGCAGCACGCTCTTTACTGGCAGCAGCGGCGTGGTTCCGGGCTTCTATGACGGTTTCGTAGGGGGTCGTGGACGAGACGATGAAGCGAGTGTCGAGAGTATCGAGGTCGTAGATGCTGCGAAGGAACGAAAGCGCGCCCATCTTGAACCCCCTTTCGACAGGCAGCAATGCCTGTAAGCAGTAGATCCGAATTATCGCAACATCAGGAAGCTGGATTTGGACGGCATTCACAGCAAAAGACGGTGTTATGTCGTATATAGGAGCAGTGAAATGCGATTTCGGACACCGGGAGTAAAAGAATGGTTTGGTATAGATTGTAAGACAACATGTGCTGGTCGATCATGAAGCCGCCGGTGGGTAGCTATTCCGTACTCCGTACTCGCATTATTTCGGTAGATGCATATCTATTTATAGAGTGGAGCATTTTAAGGGGATAAATCTTTATATCAGAGGATCATTGGGTTAGGTAATATGCCTTTATTTGCATATACTTACTTCATTATATGCATAAGCCTATCATTGGGCTTCCCCGAAACGAAAGTCTCCAAATGCAACGGGACGACAACATCTAGAACAGCATGTTTCACCTTAAAACACAGATTCATATCGGCTACGAGTTCAACATTTTCGCTCTCTCCCCCCTTAATCTACCGTTCGTATCTGTCCGCCATTACGACATCCCGGCCACCGAATCAAAGACATTGGGAGTACCCTAGGACCGATCAGCTGTCTGAGGCCGTCACGATGGAGGGCATCTACTTACAGTCATTTATGTAGGTGCATGTGAACGGGCTCACGCACTTCAACGACGGCCTTGTCAGCGTAATTTATTCTAGGACATGGGTGTCTGGAGTACATACCGTAGTGGCACCTGTCCATCCATTACCGCCACACTGGGCGTATTGCGGTGCCCCCCCTGAGGCCGTCGTCGTTGTCGCTGCGGTTGTTGTCGTCGTTGTTGGCGCTACGGTTGTGGTAGTGGTCACGGGTGGCGTGGTAGTTGGTACGCTCGTCGTGGTAACTGGTACGCTCGTGGTGGAAGTCGGTCCGGTTGTGGTGGTTGTACTGTTCGAGCCGCCGCCGCCGCCGCCCTACGTTGGCCGACAACAGTTAATTCTGCTGAGCCGTTACCGTTTGTGAACCGTTCCCTTCCCATTGACCGAGAAGCTACATCTCAAGTCAGGAGTAGGCAGAACTTACCGTGATACCGAACCACTGCATATCAGCATCGCCGAAGATCTGGATATTATGCGTAATGCCCTAATGAACGCCATAAGTCATTACGAGGTTCCTGGAGCTATAGGGAAGAAACGAGAGGTAAACAATTTCGCCGAACTTACCTCGCCCAGAACACCCTCGACATTAGGTCCGAACACATAGCGCGTGTACGGGCTCTGGGGGTCATTGGGATACGTTTCGGTCGGCGTTGTCGAGTACCCGAAGACGCCAGTCCACTGCTTGATCGTCTCGTAGTAGTTCTGCGGATACAGCGTCGTGTCGGCCGTGCCGTGGTGGATCCGCATCCGTGGTCGTGCGCCAGTGTACCCTGGGTACGCGCCCTTCACCGCGTCGGCCCAGTACTCCTGCGTCAAGTTCAGCTGGCCTTGCGAGCAGGTGCTGTTCCATCCGTTTACTGTGCCCGTGTAGAAGCAGGTCGCCGGTACGCCGGAGTATGCGATGCCCGCAGCGAAAAGCTCGGGGTATGTCGCTGCCATCACGTTCTACCCGCATTCATTAGCGGCGTGGCTTAAACGAGCGCGAGACGAATGAAAGTGGAGGACTCACCGTCATCATGGCGCCGGACGAGGTTCCGGTCACGAAAACTCGGCTCTTGTCACCGCTGTATTGGTCCAGCGTGTAGGTTACCATGTTGGCAATGGAGTTACTGTCAGCGCCGCCATCGTGCGTGAGGGCAGCATCCGACGACACGTCCCAGCAGGTGCCACTGTATGGTGACTCGGGGTAGATGACGATGAAGCCATACTGCTCGGCGAGGGTAGCATAGGGCGTCCCGGTGTAGTACGCCGACGCGGTGCCGCCGCAGTAGTGGATGGCGACGATGATGGCCGGGCTCGTGGCTAGATTGGCCGGCACGTAGATGTACATCTTCGTGCCTGAGGTGTTGTCGCCAAAGTCGGTGACCTGTTCGAGCGATGCCCGCTTCACCAACCCTGCCGTGGCGCCCCCGCAGAGCGCGAGGCCCGACGTGATCGCACTTAGAAAACGCATGTTTCTTCCTTGTCTATCTGCTGTAGAAACTGACAGAAAGGGGGTGCCCTCCCCCTCCCAGTCGTGAGGGGTGGTGAAGACCGCTTATATGTAGGATTTCCGGCCAGGCCGAGCGTGGTTACCGGATGTCTTGGCTCCGGTCAGTTCGGACGGCCGGATGAGACATGGCGGTTTCTTTATGGGCCTGTCCCGGGCGTATGCTGGGCTGCGTTGTGGTATTTAGACGACAAAGGGGATTATTCAACTCGTACCCGACGTCGACCGCGTCAATCACCCTCAATAGGAACCAAAGCCTACTATTGCAGGACTACCGACTGGAATCTACACTCGTATATTCCCTTATCCTCGCTGCCAGGATACGCGTAATTGCCAGGATTTTGTACGGCGATGTCCCATTGGGAATGCGGAAGTGAGGTCCGTTATCCATATTAATTGTAGCGGGACGAAAATCTTACACCAATTGACTGATCATCCTCGGTAAATGGTTATGGCTGAATAGCCCTTGGTACTGCTAACAGCAGCAAGGACTATCTTCCTTGGTGTTGGAGTCTTCCCGCTCGCGGGTCCCTTGGTCGGTAACTTGGTATGCGATACCCACCCCCTCGCGATTCTGACGACGACAAACATTTGCGAATACGATACCTTCCGGCACCTGCGTGGTTTCATATTAATACAGGATACTCGCTAGAGCTTATATCACTCAATGTTAGGGAGACGAATTGACTTTATACAACAACCGCCTCTAAAAATAACCAGATAAGCGAAGATATTCGTATGAGCGGCATGGAATGGATCCCGTGAGGTCTATATGGATCTACATACCGCGTCCAGCGACAAATTACACACCCCGCAAAATAACCATAATTCAACGTCGACCTAACGAGACTCTTACCTTATTTTACGCAGGCCAGTCTCTCGTACCGTAGGAGTGATCCGCCGTCCTGGCAAGACAAACAGTGAGGACGCGAGCGTCCTAGGTTCACACGATTCTCTCGCGGTGCTTCGGAAATTCACTATCAGCTAACTATCATGGACCGAGAGATCACTGAGAATGTGATCGCCGGTTGGTGTCAAGAGCGAGCAAGTCACCGAGCTGTAAATATCCCTCGAACATACGACATGCATCAGGAAAGCTGGCTTCTTTGAGATACAAGTTGAATTATACCTAGAGAAGTAGGTCTGAACGGTAACTTTATTGCCTGCTTGTCAGCAAGAATCGCCGATGTTTTCCATGCGTTTTATCCTGACCTGGATGCTGGCGGTCGTTCCTATAGTATGAGTATTGCACTATGTAAATACATATCGTCTGAGACAGAACGAGGAAGATGGCTGTAAGGACAGCTAGGATATAATTTGCGACGAATATCTAGGCCTGCCATATCTGGCTCTAATTACGTCGTGGTCAATCGTATAAACGAACTTGATATTTCTACCAATTTCAGTCAGTAACTCATGTCTTCTCATAATTCGTCGAAATACGACAATTCGACTTGGATCGGGTAGCTCCCTTCTGGTCCTTGTACCATTCCTATGGTCAAACGTACGGAGACCCGTGAGTGAGATGTATACCCAGCATCACCCTCCGTACAAGATCATAGAAGAAAGCAACGTCGAACGCCTCCAAGAGTTCTACCGGGTAAAACAGGAAGAAGCGGGACCCGGCGAAATCCCGGGGACAGGGGGGAGTTTATAGGCCACGAAACCAAGGCGGGAAAATAACGTCCTCGGTGGCGCAATTGGCTAGCGCGTCGTAAGTTACCACATCGAAAAAAACCGGAGAAGAAAAAAAAGGGGCTATTCAGATTTCTAACCATCTTTCGCAGTGACTGTTAATCAGGAGGTTGAAAGTTCGAGCCTTTCCCGGGGAGTTGATTTTTTTTCTTTATTTTTATCCTTTCATTATTGGATGTTATTTCTTTTTGTTTTTTTTTATGATTGTTACTTACCTTGTTGAATGGATTGGCTCTGAGAGCTGGTTCCTTTCTCATCCCTTGGAGGGGTCCTGGAGCGGCAAATTATAGGCACGGCATCGATTGACTGCGATCAAGCCAGATCTCACCATGCTGCGAATAATACCCACCTAGGAGGCAGCGCACATTTTCACATTCCCGTAAACGTGTCATCCCGGCTTATAAGGAGCCGAATGTTGCGGATGTGATGGCTTCATTCATTCAATTTTGGGATTGCGGTACACATGCCACCGGGGATGCCTAGTCAACTGCATATAAAACCTTCACACCAGCCTATTCTAGCGAGTGATCACACTACTGAGTCTTCCTTTCCTCTACTGAGCATAGGATAGGTACCACAAAGGTCGTCCTGGTCCGTGGGACCTCACGGGCTGTCGATTAATATGGCAATTCCGCTCTACCTTACCGGATTTGTGACTTTCACGTGAGGACTATAGAACTGACAGGATCACCCGTCACCTCGCTACCATGGGCGCTGCTAATATGGCTGCTACCAGGACTATGACCTCAATGGAATGTCCTCGCCGGTGTATTTCGCCTCGAGGGTTTGTAGGAGCATAATCCGTCTTCCGAGAAGCCAGCAGCGTGGACCAGGCGTGGTCCCCTTGGTCATATATACCTTCACCTGCTCGGCAGGTTTATGCCAAGGTTATCAAAGGGCTTCCTCGCCCTCATTTTCACCTACGGCCGGGACCGACTCTCCAGGAGCAACGTAATCTTGCAAGATGGGCTATTACAACGTCCATACCGTCTAGTACGAAGCGCTTTTCTTACCCTTACTCCCCCTCTGCGACTGCTTCTAATGGTCGCACGGACATGGTGGTATCTTCGGGCTCACTATCTAAGGCCCCCCTAACCGGTTGATTGCGAGACACCCGCTCTTCTCTTCACGCAGGTGTGATGGCGGAGGGTCAGAGGTCATGAGTCCCCCACGAGTATGGCCGGACGGAAGCGGCTGCCACACGCTGTTCAGCACAATTGGTTCCCCATTCTCCATCTGGACATCAACCAGTAGGGGAATTAGGCGATAAAGCTGGGTTTCGAAGCTCTTGCGTTCATCAGCGCTCAACTCCCATAGAATGTCTTTATTACTTCATCTGATAGGCGGCTGATGAAGTCAGTAACGGTGGCAGTGATCGTGGCATTGGTCGTGACTTGTAGGCGGGCGACTATCAACACATGCCATTAGTTACATACCTACCTATGTTAGGGCTATAAATGGTTAGACGTGATGACTTACGACTGCACTTGCTCTCTTGCCCGTCATACGCACAGCCGGCACAGTACTCCTTGCCGTGGACAACAACACAGGCGTTCCAAAGCTTGTTGCTGCCAATGCAGCGCGAACATCTGCTTCCAGGTGAGGCCCGAGACTTGCTGCAACGCAGCCTTTAGGTTTTCATTGGCGCTGGATGTGCCGGTAGGGAGACTGAAGTTGCCTACATTTACAGTCAGCACGCAATGCAAATGAGTTGAAAGGATAGAAGTAATAACTCTGCGTGTGCCCTCTAGGGCATACTTCGACTCACAGAGAGCTGGTTGGTCGAGTAAAGGGGCTAGCGGGGGAGCGGTTGGCATGGCTGTATAGCGCCGTCTAAGAACAAAGTACTTGTCACGGACGACTTCCCGGGTGGTCTGATCACCGAGGCGGTCGTCGCCGGGAGGGTCGGCAGCAATATCAGATGCGACCATAGTCGAATACTACCTAATTCGACAGGATCTCATAACAAGACATATATACCTACCTACCTATGTAAAGTCTTTCTTTCACCGGCGCAAAGGCCCTGTAATGTAAAGGGTCGCATCACGGTCGGAGACTGAGCGAGATGATACCTGATTCCAATAAATAATATCTAGTATATATTGATGAATTACTGCCTGGAGGAGAAATTGTGAATCGCAGTCTGGGACCGGAAATGGCTATATATACAGGAACAGCGTGGCGCGCGCCGGCCGGTCGGTGCGTGGCGGCGATCATTATCTAGGTCAGACAACCCCAGTTGCAGGCCCAGGCAAATAATAAAAATACACACATAAATGTCATGATCCGCTGTCTGAATAGGAATAGAAGCAATGATGGTGAGGCGTCGACGGAGTTGGTGAGAGGCATAGCATAGCGGGGCTACTTATGGAAGATTCCGTGAACAGACACGCAACCATCACCGGTTATCCTCGGTGGCGCAATTGGCTAGCGCGTCGTAAGTTCTCAATTGTTCGAAGAAGACGGATTAGTGATATTGGTGTCTAACGAGATTCGCAGTGACTGTTAATCAGGAGGTTGAAAGTTCGAGCCTTTCCCGGGGAGATTTTTTTTTCTGCCCATCTTATTTTTCCCCTGGTACGGCACGCTTTTACCCGGCACCTTCTGGGCTGATGTCTAGCAATTACAATTACCAATTGGCCTCGGTGGCGCGATTCGTCGGCGCGTTGTGAGTTAATGTTATAACTGCCTTATTCAAGAGAGATGGGGAGTCTGTTGTCTAACACGATTATAACGACTGTTGATCAGGAGGTTGAAAGTTCAAGCCTTTCGCGGGGTGTCTTCTTTTTTTTTTTGTCCTCGGCGTTCTTTTCCCCAGGTACTTGGTGCGGTTCGGGTAAAACCACCCGAGTCAATGTCTCCGCACGATCTAGAAACGTGGGTACTTTTGCGTGTAAGATGGTTGCCCTTTCAGGGACCTTCAATATACCTAGCTTAACGGTTTGCAGCCAGATAACCAACCGAAACCCAAGAATAAGACACAGAAGCGGAATGCCCAAAGGTAATGTGCTTATAGCCTGTCCATCAGCAAGTTGAACCGCCATCGAACAACCCTCCATCTACGCTATAAATGGGCCCATTTGTCGCTTAGATCCCACCGGAGGGGCGGCGGATCGGCCGTAATTCCACAGCAGGGCCGATTTTTCCCTCTCTCCATTCTCGAAATGTATGTTCTTATTCGGCATATCATCCGCCGGTCTTCCACAACCGCCATCCTCGGTGGCGCAATTGGCTAGCGCGTCGTAAGTTCTACCTTTAGTGACTCCAGATGGTCGATGTTTTCTCTAACCAGTTTCGCAGTGACTGTTAATCAGGAGGTTGAAAGTTCGAGCCTTTCCCGGGGAGGTTTTTTTTTATTCTTTTTCATTGCTTCTCTTTTTTTCTTTTCGGGTATGTCGGTGGTGTGAATATTTTTGTCGGTGCTTGGTAAGTTTTGGTGTGGGTGGTGGCGGCAGACCCCGACTTTGTTGTAACTGATTGCGACTATTTCGTCTATTTCTGCTCTGAATATGCCCTAGGTTTCCTTCCGATGAATTCCCCTGCCATTTACTTCCAGGGTATTGCTGATGTCCTCTCGAGAGGTTGCGTGCGAAGCTCGATCAGATGACGCTGCGGTCGCCGGATGCTCGAAGGTATTCATATGAGCCGCGTTGCTCGGAAGCGTTCCGATATGAAGTGTCTATGATAGACATTGGAACTTACGTTGACGAGAAACGATCTGCTTAGATCATAGGAACGTCGCAAAGCTGGAGGAACAACGATGCGTCTTTACTAAATACTCCTTCATCTTCTATTCGCGCCTGTACGAGTCCTGCTTCCTTCAGTAATACGGAACCTCTGAAGCCCGCAGCCAACTTTGCCAAAAGCGAAACAACTAAACATCATTGTTATATTAGGAACGCCGCAACGAGGAAATGATTCGAAGCAGTCGGGCACATGCAGCCTAACGTAGGTAGAATATGCGAAGTGTCGCGGTGATGCTCTGGCTTAGTCGATCTATCGAGGAGCGTCGGGAGCATCCTTGATACACCCTTCATCTCAACGACAGATATTCAGAAGAGCTTCTCTTCAATGTGTCCTAAATAGGATTACACCATGAATAAAAGTACTCGATATTGCGTTTCGTCATCTAGTGGACGTGGGAGAACTTGGTTTCCCAATACGATGATAGCATCTACGGCGAGGATGACCCAGAGCTCGACATCGTACGACGGCTGAGGCAAATGCGGAAGAACCAACAGAGCTAGGGGCTTTCCACCCGCAAGCTGATTGAGTGGCGTTGATGTTGGTGTCGGGGTCAAACTACTCATACGGCTCATTCACGGGGGGGGGGGGGTGTCCCTAACGATCGACACCTAAAGAGCAATTGTCAACATGGTGGCCTTTAGGTACGGAGACCTCTACGTTCTATGATGCAGCTCTTGGGACGTACTGCTAGAACTTAGATAGAGCTTAAAAGAAAGCTGTCGGGTGCCTCGATATCCCACTGCAAGTCCACCCGAATGTTTTGAGGGTCTCAAACTACTCCCATGACGTTTGGGCATGGCTGCGTCGGGCGGCTGGCTTCGGGACTGCATTCGTTTAATGTGATGTCTGTCGGGGGACTAGAGGGCTCCGCCAGCCCTCTTCCTGTAATGCCAGATACCAAGCTTGTGATCCCGCAAATCATCCTAGTATCGAGGTTGGGGGATCGGATCCTAGAAGACGATGCAAATGTGAAGAGTGGATCGACTACCATAGGGAAATGAGCATCACAAGATTCGAATCTTTGACTTTCGGAGGACAGAGCCCCGAAGTTAATAGGATTAACGGACCGCCATTTTCTTGATAGGAACCAAGGTCGAGGAATGCCTGATAGAAGATATCTACAGATCATCTTTCGGCCGATGGCGGACTCGTAGTTTTCGCGGTCGGCTTCCGTCTTGCCTTCTTATGACGATCGAGATCTACACGTAAGAGATAACTATCGAAGAGTGTCTGATCGCTCTTTCGTCCGATCGCGGCTATGAGCACCGTGATATACAGCAACAGACTGCTGTCCGCATGTTGAGAACTCTCTTAGGGTCTTGGCTTAAAAGGAAATATAGGACTCTTTATCTCATCCGCGTTCATGCTCGTAGGCGATGATGTAGAAAGGATGACGGAGGCCGATGCTGACTTTCACTTCTACGCTCCGTATCACTCCCTTACGCCGATGGGAAAGGGGCTATCCAGATGGACAAGGGACACATTCATGTTCTTAGTGGTATCTAGCACATGGTTAAAACGAACCCGAAATTGCCAATGTCAGAATACAACTATATGGATTTGATTTCTTTTGCCAGCAATTGTTTGGTATACACGCCGGCATAGTTGTGTCAAAGAACGCCTGCATCATACTGGTCAGCCTACCGTATAAGTCGGATACTAATGGGCATCACTCCCCTCTGGAGTAAGTCGGGCCGCCGAGCAAACGTGACATACCGAACAATAGGGCAGCAGCGTGAGTGAACAGACCCTATATGCCGTTTGTTCCGCGTGATACTACGATCTACCCAAGCACAGAAACCTACGTAGGCATTTGGTTTTGGGGCCCACCCAGGCACATGATTGAAGGTGGGTTTAGCTCAGCTAGACTCGGGCAAAACAGCATAACTCTGGCGGGATTTCTTTTCAGAACCTACATACCTGGGGGAATACGGATCCGTACCGTGCACTGCGGTATCTGGATGCCCACGGAAGTGAATTAACGAGGCAGGCCAGCGAGATTATCTACCACCTACCGCGGGTATGAACATGAGCCCAAGAACATACGACTAACAGGTAACGCGTTTGCCTTACCTATCATCGTCTGTGTACCGCCGGGTTTGCCATATTGCTCGACCACCTGTCGTTCCCTTGTAATGCCCTGTCAACGTGCCTTGAGTAGGTCAGGTGGCTAAGCAATGGGGTAGGCCGAACGGTATTTAGTCAGTGTAAAGACGTCCCTTCGGTGCAAAGTAAATAGCAAAGCTCCATGGCGGTGGGAAGTCAGCATGGCAGGTCTGACCGGGCTGTATTCACTGATTCTCTCCGATCAAGCTGAGGAAGGAGCTCTCAAACATCAATACCCAAGGTACCGTTGGGTACCCTACACGTCTATTCTGCGGTCCGGTACAGGTCTGTACATTGGAGGTACGTACCGGGCACTGCCCGTTGATGTCCCCGTTAACAGCGGATGTACGGAAGTAAGTACCGCCGCGTACCTGACCACTGTAATTACCGCTACCGTTACCCTTCCTGGACCTACCGGATATATCGGACCTACCGGACCTATCGGATAAGCATGATACTCCGACGTTTAGCCGATCCCGCGCTAAGACATCAGGTTAAGGTTAATTTTTCTTGGCTGTCCCAGATCCCAATCCCTCTCTCTCTCTCCACAACTTCTCCGTCTGTTCCTCCCCATCACCCCCACCCCCTTAACGCGTATTCACAACACAGCACGTGCGCACACGATGTTGATGAATACTAAGATGAGCCTGGACGTGTGCATCCAATAATTCATCAGAAGTTGCAAGCCTCTGCTGAATTTTGGGTGCACCTTCTTGTCGCTCGTCGTCGTCGCTCTGCCAAGGCGCTGCCACGGCTACGCGAACGCCGCGCAACGGGAAGTTCACAAGTCACAACACCAAAGTGCACATCCGTATCCATCAAGGACTTGTCTACACCTTGTTGTCGTCTATCTTCTCCTCAATGCTTTCCTTACCATGTCGGCGGTCAAAGAAACCGAAGCCGATGAAGTACGATCCTAGTCTTCGTCAGGACTCAAGCAGGTAAGCCCCATTCATTGACTTATCCTACCATCCCCTATTGCAATCAAATTGCTGACTTCTTCGCCTCTAGAGTTATATTCTCAGCTCAGGATGGACCTGCTTTGCCGCAGTTTCCCTCAAGCACCTCCTTCACTTGCAAGATATGACTCCATGCTTCGGGGTTCTATCAAGGGAACTACCGAGCGCTTTGATCTATCAGACTCTGCTCCGTTGATCTACGCTTTAGTTTGTCAGGGGCACGGGTAAGGAGACACCCCACAAGGGAGCCAAATCACAGTGTTGCTCTGCGGGTCTCGTACACTCCATACCAACTAAACACCTCCGATTTCGACGGGGGTGATAGTAATAGTTACTTCGTCAGGTGGTTTACCCACACGGCGTGGTCCACTAGCTTGTTTCATGGAAGCCAAAATCCAAACCCTTCCAAGGAGGGATTCACGGGTTCCGATTTCAATCACCTGTTTCGTCATCCCTTGGTTTCGCTTTGGCGATTTATGCCCTAGAGAGAGAAAAATCAAAGGGGGTGATCTCTGCTCTGGACCGGGGGGGTCAAGTCAACTGAGACCAAGTCGTCATCGTCTAAGAGGCTTGTGAACGAACGTGCGCGAAAGCTTTAAATGGCCAAAGAAGACGAACAACGGGGTCAGGGTCAGACACGCTTCATCCAACCCCCCCACAACCCTGCTGTCCTGATTGATCAAGGAATTAACACCTTTGCCGACACACGACATATGTAACGGTCCTGGTCGTAAGCATGCGACGGAATCGAGATGTTGTCGCCGCGAATACGCCCCAGAAAAGTGTGGCGTGGCCGGAAAGCTGTGCGGCGGGTCCCTCGGGCTGTAGAACCCTTTATCTGGGTGGCTATCGCCATTCAGATTCTGACCACTTTGCAAAGGTGCTTTCTGTCCACGGAATTTAGTGGTTTTGAGCGTGAACCCATTGTGGAAGCAGATATTGCTTGAATCCTTTGGATTGGCGCCCATAAGCTTCGTGGAGTTTTACCACCTTCCTTGCATGGCGAGCGATGGCAGGGGACTCCTTAAGCACTTCACGTCCTGCCTTGCCGCTGCTGGTGGGGGGGGCGTACCATGCCTGTTTAGAACGGGGGGTGTCCCTTGCCTATTCAGAACGGGGGTTGCTCCTTGCCTGTTTAGAACGGGGGGTGTCCCTTGCCTATTTCGAACGGGGGGCGTTCCCTGCCTATTTCGAACGGGGGGCGGTCCTGGGAGGGGGATGCCAGCATACTCTGGGCTGCGGCTGCTGGTAGGGGTGGACAAACTCCCCTGCTTTCATGTTGCAGATGCCGACTAAATATGTCAAACCGACGACAACGTCGGCCTGATTAATTTTAGTTCGGGTCCACAGAGAATTGGTTGGCATTCATCCTCCAGGGTCCCGTACCAGGATCGTATAAATGGGTGGCAGAGAATGTTGGCAATGATGTGCGCCTTCGTCTCTTGTCGCCCACCCCCGGGCGGCGAGACCCCCCCTTGGAAATATTTCAGATAGCAGCAAGGATCTAGAGATGAATCCTCAGTTCTCCGATTC